GGGGTCATCTGGCAGTCTCCGGGTCCTAATTTAGGTGGCCGGAGACTGCCAGATGACCCCGCTCGGAGCGCCGCACACCGGAGCAGCAGCGACGCTCGGCGAGGTAAGTAAGAAGAAAAAAAAAACCCCCGCAGCGGCCAGTACAGCAGGGGAGCAGGGATGAGTCAGCGGCGCGCTGATCAGGCGAGAGGAGCTCCAGGTGGGGTTGTAATTTAGCGGGCAGGCACCTCTGAGCCAGCTAAATTAGGACCCCACCTGGAGCTCCTCCCACTGGATCAGCGCGCCGCTGACTCGTCCCTGCTCTCTCCGTGATGTGATGATCCGATCACCGGCACACAGTGAGTGAGGGGAGGGGGGGGGGTAGAGAGAGAGATTCATTAAGCAATTATATATGTATTGTCTGCACTGTATTAGCAGTATATACTCTATATAGAGTATATACTGCTAATACAGTGCAGACAATACATTTACAATTATACTAACATGAATGTATTAAATGATCTGTATGTAGCCCTGTACTATGGATCATTTAACCCATTCATGTTAGCAGAGGATCATTGTAAATGTATTGTTGCAGGCACACTATATGTACATGTACTATATACTACATATAGAATGCACTGAACAATAGATTTACAATTATCCTCTGCTAATATGAATGGGTTAAATGATCCGTAGTACATGATATGTAGCCCTGCACCCCCTTTTCCACTTACAGAGCTAGGTTATTTTTCTTTTAAATAAATATTCATGTAATTTTATTGGTACCTATCTACCAGTAGCTGCCTCATTTCCCACCCTCGGCTTATATTCGGGTCAATACTTTTTCCCAGTTTTTTTGGGTAAAATTAGGTACCTCGGCTTATACTCGGGACGGCTTATACTCGAGTATATACGGTACTTACTGTTCCTTTGATCCCTCACCGCTCCATTCAGCAACATGACCCAAAGCAAACTGCCCAGTATGGAGGAGCACATGACTTGCTCCATATCAGCACCATCACTTGTGGAATTCATACCCTTGTTTAAGCTAAGACTCTGGTGACTATTAGCTTACACTGAGCTTTCCTATCCCTTCTGGTGGCTGAATGAAGCTGCGGAGGCAAGTATGTCCTCTGCGTTAAAGGGAACCTGTGGCTCTACTCTTCTGGAGCAAAGGACAGACTTGCTGTAAACTTCAGTCAGTAGTTGCATATTATGATAGTTCTAATGCTGAGAAGTTTAACCACCAGTTTGTTTAGCTGGGACCCCACTGTTGGCATCTACTCACCCACCGTGGCCCCGCTATCCATGGTAGATGATAGATAATGGAAAGTGCAAGTGGAACAGTCCTAGGTGGGCAGAAATGATCAAAGTCGTTGGAACAGAGACAGGAACCGCTATCCAGAGGTCCAGCAGATGACTAAACAAACAGACCAATTCCACTACCTGACATGTTCCCCATGGGTGGACTGACCCTTTAAGCCACCAGTATCTTTTGTATGGTGCTTGTGTGGCAATGCAACAATAGTCGGCAGGTCTGATGCTTCTTAACTGATGATAAGACCCCCCCCCCCATGTGTTTGTACCTTGACCCTTTAATGCCGCCTCAACCTTGCATCTTACTGTGCTGCAAACGTGTGTCTCTTCCTTTTATAAATGAATGCAAATGACTCATTTACACAAGGAGCAATTAATGATCGCAGGCAGATGGGCCTATGTCTGGTGGCGTCCGTGCTGCTTATCCGCAGTGACACGTCCGTCTCCCAGTGTATGTGGGGACAGTGACCTTAATAGGGTGGAATAATGGCTGGAATTAGTGCAGCAGACAGGAAAGAAAACACAGCGCATGAGAAGCCCGGGCTCTACAGATCGCTTGTCTTGTGCCGGAGGAGAGATGTGCGCACTTAGTGTGACTCCCCTCCACAGCACATTGAATAAGACTCGGCCTGCCAACAAGTCTAATCGCCGCTCCCGGGACTGGCAGGCTGAAACCCTTGAAGCCATCTAGGAGTTTCTGCTCAAACTTGTGCCGTGTTACAACAGGATACCCCAACGCTCGGGTTTGCTTGGGGGCACCTGCCAATGCAAAAAGTGGACTCTTACTTTAAAGTGGGACTAACGTCGGATATATTTGTTACATGCATGCGAAGTAATGTGTAAGTGTAACACTTCCAGATATGAATTACCTTTCACGGAGATCATATTGCTCTCCATGACAATGCCTTTATCTGCTTCCCCCTCCAGGAGGACAGCGTCATCTTTATTCAAGTATCATCCAAGGTCACATGTCATAGACTACATTCGTGTAAATCCTGGTGTCAGTACAATTCTTGGCTGTGCTCACAAATGTCTTACACCAATTAGCCCCTGCTTCAGCCTCTCTCCTTGTGACTTGTTACAAGGTTACAATGTTGCAATCTGATCACTGGGGGAGGGGAGACTGAGGAAATGGTTCCTCCTGCCTGCAGCAGACTGATCAATGGGAGAGAGGAGACAGAGCCCCATAGGAGGGGTCCGTTATTGCCCCATAGGAGGGGTCCGTTATTGCCCCATAGGAGGGGTCCGTCCATGGGAGGGGGCCGTTATAGCCCCATAGGAGGGGTCCGTTATAGCCCCATAGGAGGGGTCCATATAGCCCCACAGGAGGGGTCCGTTATAGCCCCATAGGAGGGGCCCATTATAGCCCCATAGGAGGGGCCCGTTATAGCCCCATAGGAGGGGCCCTTTATAGCCCCATAGGAGGGGACCATTAGTTCCAGCCCCATAGGAGGGGGCACCGTCCTAGCCCCATAGCAGGGGGCCCTGCCCCTTCTAGCTGGCCCACAAGAGGGGCCCCTTCTAGCTGCACCATAGGGGGGCCCCTTCTAGCTGGCTGATACGTCTAGTTATACTTTATATTGTTTTCATTAAAAATACATTTAATGATCTATTAACGAATGAAGAGTTCCCTGCCAGGAGTTCATCTTTAAATGCACCTTCATGCTAATGATGACTGTCTGGTGTGGGGTCTTGTGCACCTGCTTGAGCCCGTCTCTCCCTCTCCAGCAAATCTCCTGACGCAGCGCGTTCCATAGCCGAGAACAGAAACAGATGCAAACTTTGAAATTCTTCCATTTAAAACACACATAATTCACAGAAAAATAGCTTCTATCCCCAGCATTAAAATCAAATAGACGGCCGGGGAAAGCGCCGACATTGCTCATTATTTCGCGGGAAGGAATTCGGCTTTTCGGTTTGCTAAAAAGATTACTTGTGTGCTGTGTATTTTTTTTCCCCTTCTGGAGAAGAGAAAAGTGTGGTGTTTACACAAATCTGCAAATGCACAATTGAAATTTATTTCCAAAGTGAAACATTATCATCTGTCTGGGGAGCAGGCTGCATTTTTCAATAAGTTAGAACCAAACTCCCAACTCTATCCAATAAAGGATGCCGGCTAATCTGGTTTGTATGTACTTTCTATTGCGTTTGTTGTACAAGTTGGGCTTGATTTTCTTTTTTAACCGGAGTTGCTATGTGGGTGTAGTAAAATAAATAAAAATAAAATATGTTTCTTAAAGGAGAACTATGAGGGGGGGGGGGAATACCGCAAGCAGTAGCTTGCGTTGTACTGTGGTGTCTCAGTATACCGCGAGCTGTAGCTCGCGGTATACTCAGCCTAGGGTGATGGGAGGACGCTAGTTTGTGTCCTCCCGTTACCCTAAGGAGAACTATGGGGAAAAGCCTTAACCCCATAGTTCTCCTTTTAAAGTGAGCCTGTACTTTGGCCATGGTGGTACTTCTGGTGATGGGGAGGGCGGATGTCACACTACCCCTGCCTCCCATAATGAAGCAATCAATTGCCAGGCCTGTATTATCACATATAGATGAGGCAGTAGCATGCACAAGTCAAAATTTACACGGGGTTCCAGAGCAGTGGTTCTCGACCCGTGTAACCTCAGGACCCACATTTGTCCTCGGTCATTAAGTCGCAGCCCAAGTTACACTGCAGTGGAATGCACGGAATTGCGGTACTGCACGTTCCGGTGCGGACGATCGAACTGTGGGTGGGACACACACACACACACACACACACACTCACACTCACACTCACACTCACACTCACACTCACACTCTCTTTCTCTCTCTCTTTCTCTCTTTCTGTCTCTCTTTCTCTCTCTCTCTCTTTCTCTCTCTCTCACACAATCTCACACTACAAAAATGTTTTTATGTTTTTTTAAGGTCCACCCAGTCTCCCTTAGGAGAACTGGAATGGATCCTCAGCCTTGGTTCCAGTGTGGGCTGCTGTGCTGGGACAGAGCTCCATCCATATGCTCATTGCTTGTACAGCTCCCTTGTGCGCCCTGTACTGGAAGTCCCATTAAGGAAGCCGGGCGGTGTGTACTGACTCACCGCCAGCCTTCCTGATTAGCAAGGAAGCCGTCTCCATGCACCAGATGATGAACAAGCATGGAGCCGGCTTTCTGGCCAATCAGGAAGCCTGGGCACAGGTGATGACCCACCACCCGGCTTCCTGATTGGCCAGGCAGCCGGCTCTGTGCTCCCTCGTCACCAGATGATTAGGCTAGTCGGGAAGCGGGTAATGACTCGCCGTCCGGCTTCCTGGTTGTCCAGCTTCCTGTCCAATCAGGAAACCGGGCAGCGAGACATTACACGCCGTCCAGCTTCCTGATTAGCCAGGAAGCCGGCTCCATGCTCGCTCGTCACCAACCTTGTGACGAGGAAGTATGGAGCCGGCTTCCCGGCTAATCAGGAAGCTGGGCGGCATGTAATGACTCGCCGCCTGGTTTCCTGATACTGAAAATTCCGGTATCGGGAGCATTTGGGAGAGTACTGGCCCAAATACTCGGCATCGGCGCATCCCTAGTTCTAACCCTAAGTCCAAAACCAAACAATATGAATAACATGTATCCATGATGTCTTTATTTTCTAGCGTTGACATTTCCCATGAAGCCGCCACCTGTACATGCCAATATGTATGCAGGTAGTCTTTTGTAACCTGCGTGTTTGTGCTATTTCAGATGTCAGGAAAGCACTGGAAGATCTTCAGGACGTCATGAAGAATTTTGAGTCCAGAATGGAGTTCACAAAAGACCTGCAAAAAATTAGCAAGGTAAGGAAATCTTGGCTGTACATAAAAGATTGGAGTATGGGGGTGGGTTGATGAGGCTTTGAAAGGGAACGATCACTAAAAGTGGCTATAGACTAAAGAACAAAGAATGGAGAGTCACCCTCCAACTGAAAGTCCAATCATTGAGTTTTATCTAGTAAGCTTAAACCAGCTGCTGTGGAGTTTGCTTCACACACATCATAATATCTGTTTCATCTTGTCCTACTCTCTGCTCTCATCAATGTATACAAAGCCCTTATGAAGGAAGGCGCCTTATGACCCTGAAATATATTGGCTACGTATGCAGTACAATCTCTTTTGATGAAATAAACTTTAGGTTTGGCGTCTCCATTTGAGTGTGGTGCTCCATTCTTTTGTGTTCTTGGTTCCTATTCGAAGTGTTCCTGTAGAACATTCAGCGCTCAGATATGTCGTCAGCACACCGCTAACCCTGTTTCATAGTGGAAAGCTCTTCGTTATTGCATGATCACATAGAAAAACTATTTTTGGGACCATGCAGGTGTACCCTTTATCAGGCATGTGATCATTACATGCCTAGTGAAGGGTCTCTATGTGGCAGGTTAGGGAGCAGAGTGGGCACAGTGAAATCCTGGAAACAGCAGGTAGGTGTTGTAGGTGAGTATATGCTGTGTTCTGGTCAAATCCTTCATTGGTAAAATCCATATCTGCCCGAAATGCAAAACACTAGTCCTTATTGGAATACAATTCATACATCCGCTGTATTCCTCGGGGGAGATTGGGCCGTTTGGATTCCCTCCTAAGTGCGCATTCCATTACCAACAGTTGATACATGTGGGTCGCATTCATTTTGGAACACAGAGGGTTTTTCTTGAACCCAACCTCATATGAGAAATTATTTGGATGCCCGGTATAACCAAACCAGTATTATGTGTTACGCAGCCCTTAGCAGTATCAACAGGCAGAACACTTAACTACCCCATAAATTCAATTTGCAGACCAAGAATGGTTGAGGATACATATACGGGCTCAGTGATATATTCTAAAGATTGAGCGATTGAGTTAAAACTGCTTCACCAAGCCCATTATATACCAGAAGATCTTCCAGTGCTTTCCTGACATCTGAAATAGCACAAACACGCAGGTTACAAAAGACTACCTGCATACATATTGGCATGTACAGGTGGCGGCTTCATGGGAAATGTCAACGCTAGAAAATAAAGACATCATGGATACATGTTATTCATATTGTTTGGTTTTGGACTTAGGGTTAGAACTAGGGATGCGCCGATGCCGAGTATTTGGGCCAGTACTCTCCCAAATGCTCCCGATACCGGAATTTTCAGTATCAGGAAACCAGGCGGCGAGTCGCTACAATATTTAAGTTGAGTCTTAAGCTGGCCGTACACCTATAGATTATCTACAGACTTTCTATGGTCAGATGGAATAAGTGTAACCGATTCCTCCATCTACGCTAAGCTGCGTGGATGGAGGAATCTCCCACTGGGCCAAGCTTCAGTATCTTGCTAGTCGGCCCCACGCTGGCTCTCAAAATACCCGAACAATCTGATTGGATGCAGCCATCGTTCAGGTATAATGACAGCCAGCGGGGCCACCTAGTAATATACTGAAGCTTGGCCCAGTGGGAAATTCATCCATCTACACAGTTTAGCGTAGATGGAGGAATCTGTTGCACTTTTTCCATCTGACCATAGAAAATCCACAGATAATCTATAGGTGTACGGCCAGCTTAAGTTAGGGGTGAACAAATGAATATGGAGCCATTCTGTCCAATTCAGGAGCCATCAGGTTTTTTTTTAGGAGCCAGCTCCTAAAAAACAACACCTAGAAAAAACCTCAAAAGTTGTAATTTTGAAGGAGCATTGGCTACCTGGCTCCTGGGATATGTCCAACCATGGTCCAAGTTCTTCCTTCCTGTGCTTCCATGGGTGTGGGGAAGAGGCGGAGTGTTTATGGACCTGCTATTATATTCAAGAATTCTGGTCAAAAGTCAACAACTTCATCTCCACCGCAATGGGACTTGCCAATATACATAATCCCGAAAACTGCCTCTTGGGTGTAACGAGAGATCTGCAGCGCTCTACACACTCCAAAACTCTTTTACAAACCCTTTACTTCTACGCTGGAAAGGTGATCCTCTTAACATAGAAGGGACCTTCATCTCCCTCACTAGCTGCATGGAAAAACCTGATGTATTCACATTCACCTCTCTATAAACTCGCCTACGGGTTACGAGATAGACCACAAACATTGATAAATACGATGACCATGGGCTACATCAGGGGTAGCCAAACTCCGGCCCTCCAGCTGTGGTGAAACTACAAATCCCTTGATGCATCTCTCTCCGGGAGTCGTGGCTATGAGAATCTTGCAATGCCTCATGGGATTTGTAGTCCCACCACTGCTGGGGGCGGCCGGAGTTTGGCTACCCCTGGGCTACATCTACCCACACGCCTTCTGCTCTGGAAGGTAGGACATGATTCCATTCTGTATGAAGACTTGAAAACCTTACTGTGCTCTGTTTAATGTTTCCATGACATCACTATGTATACACTTTGAGTAATGAGACATAAGAGAGATTCTATTTTAAGCTGCAATGTGTTTTATTGTTTATGGAATGTACAAATATTTCAAGTCAATAAAACAAAGTCTATGCTATGGTCAGACAGGTGGGAATGCGGCGAGGAAAGGAGAAATGCACTAAAGGGCTCTTATCCTTTTCAGGGTAAGACAAACTCCGGCCCTCCAGCTGCGCTGCAACTACACGTGCTATGAGGCATTGCAGGACTCTGACAGCCACCCAGAGGCAGAGACATGATGGGATTTGGAGTTTCACTACAGCCGGAGGGCCAGAGTTTTCCTTCTACAATCTCACGCTGTCAGATAGAGGGTATTATTGGAATAGAGCGTGGTATGAGTCGGGATTCCCCTTTAACCAGCGTCTGTCTGTTGCCTCAGGTATCCAGTGACTACTTTGATATCAGGGAAGAAGTCAGCGAAGAGACCGTTTCCGTGAAAGGTACGTCCCGCTCTCTCTCTGTAATTGCTCCAATTACCTCAGCGTGCGCCTTTTTCTGCCATTTACTGGTTATCGCTTTGTTATTGTCATCCGTTCAAGGGACGGCCACGGGGCTCCTCTTTAACAGCCGCCTTATTTTGTATGAAGGATTGCCAAGTGTTCTTCATTCATAAGATCTCAGCAGTGTAGAGGTGCACACACAGGCCAGTCTTTTTTTGGGGGGGGACCCTATTTAACCCTTTTACACCTGCAGTTGTTTTCATGTACTATACCCCATGCACAAGGATGGCAATAACATGCGTTCCATTTTGGAATCGTGCACTGATTGCAGCATGTCTGTGCCGTCGTTGACAGCTGCATGACCGGACTAGTGATTGGTAATCAATCAGCATGGTTCCTGAACATTTCAGCTATGGCATGGTGACCACATGGCTTTGTTTGTAAACGGAGGATTTCTTTCTGTACACAGTGATTATATATTTATATTATCATTTATATTCTATGTTTTTATATATATTGATATCATTTTACTTTTTAAAGAAGACAATATGGTGGTCGCTAAAATAAGAAATAATAAAAATGTGTTTTTTTTTCACGCTTTTTGAAATTATGGAGTTCTGGAAATATCAAAATGCCTGGATGGGTGGGTGTCAGTCTGGAGGAGGGGGCGTTCCTATACAGGCTGTATTTACATGCGGACCACTTTAGGTAACGCTCTCATGAGATGCTGAGCTGCCATGATTAAGGGCTTGTTCACACCAGTTGCAGTGCGTTTCGATTCCGGCCGGCTCACTTTTTAGTGGGGCAGGAGGGGGCGTGGCGAGCCATTGAAGTGAATGGCACCGTAGCCACGCCCTCTGGCCGCCATGCGATCGCCCGCACGGAATCGCAGGGCACATTGTGTCCGAGGTCCGGTCTGATCAAAATAGTGCTTGCAGCATTTTGATCGCACCGGAACCGCAGGCACAATGTGCCTTGCGATCCCGTGCGGGCGATCGCATTGCAACCGGAAGGCGTGGCTATGGTGCCATTTACTTCAATGGCCCGCCACGCCCCCTCCTGCCCCACTAAAAAGTGAGCCGGCCGCAATGCGAGGCAGTGCGTTCCGGCCAGAATCGGGCCAGAACGCACTTGAACTGGTGTGAACGGGCCCTGAGAGAACTGAGAACCAATGAATGAAAGCGGCGGGCCAGGGACAGTCAGACTTGGAAGGAAAAGACCAGGTGACGGGACGTCTTCTAGCCAGGAAATGAGGAGGGCTTTATCTGACTCGCTGCAGCTTCTAATGCACATTGTGAGACGCTCGCAGCCTGCACTGAAATAAATTCCGGTCCAGGAGAGGAGCTGGTACAACTGCGCACGACAGAACTGAAGGGCCGGGGCCCGGCTTTAATTTACCCAGGATATATACATATTCCATTTTATCAGGATCTGTGCGCTACATGTGTAATCTGCCCCTCTTCCCCCCTCCCCTCCGTGGCTGGCTCTGATGTCAGCCCGCTCTGTTTACTGCATTGATCTTCTCCTCTCTGCCATCAAGGCCGATTGTTTTAAGAGGGATTAAAATTCATAGCAGAGCTGAAAGAAGATTCCGCGTTGCATCTTCTATTACCAGAGCAGGATACTTGTAATGAGAGTAAAGATTTCGGATGGCAATAGACACAAACGAGTTGCATAATCAGGGCAGTGAAAAAAAAAAGAGAGAGAGAGCAGTAAAAAGAAAATAAAGGGATTGTGATTCTCCCTCCCAACCTGTTAAACTCTGATCATGTCACTGTCTCATCTCTGTACACAGTCATTTTGTGTCGCTCTGCTTGAGGACCAGAGGACGTATATTTACAATAATGCTGTTTTGGCTTTTTTTTTTTTCTTCCGAAGCCTTCCCTTCAGTCTTCTATCTGACCTCTGGCCTTCCCTTCAGTCTTCTATCTGACCTCTGGCCTTCCCTTCAGTCTTCTATCTGACCTCTGGCCTTCCCTTCAGTCTTCTATCTGACCTCTGGCCTTCCCTTCAGTCTTATACCTGACCTCTGGCCTTCCCTTCAGTCTTATACCTGACCTCTGGCCTTCCCTTCAGTCTTATACCTGACCTCTGGCCTTCCCTTCAGTCTTATACCTGACCTCTGGCCTTCCCTTCAGTCTTATACCTGACCTCTGGCCTTCCCTTCAGTCTTATACCTGACCTCTGGCCTTCCCTTCAGTCTTATACCTGACCTCTGGCCTTCCCTTCAGTCTTATACCTGACCTCTGGCCTTCCCTTCAGTCTTATACCTGACCTCTGGCCTTCCCTTCAGTCTTATACCTGACCTCTGGCCTTCCCTTCAGTCTTATACCTGACCTCTGGCCTTCCCTTCAGTCTTATACCTGACCTCTGGCCTTCCCTTCAGTCTTATACCTGACCTCTGGCCTTCCCTTCAGTCTTATACCTGACCTCTGGCCTTCCCTTCAGTCTTATACCTGACCTCTGGCCTTCCCTTCAGTCTTATACCTGACCTCTGGCCTTCCCTTCAGTCTTATACCTGACCTCTGGCCTTCCCTTCAGTCTTATACCTGACCTCTGGCTTTCCCTTCAGTCTTATACTTGACCTCTGGCCTTCCCTTCAGTCTTATACCTGACCTCTGGCCTTCCCTTCAGTCTTATACCTGACCTCTGGCCTTCCCTTCAGTCTTATACCTGACCTCTGGCCTTCCCTTCAGTCTTGCACAGTTGTACCGGCTCCTCTCCTGGACCGAAATTGCTTCCTCTGATGTCACTGCACACTGGGAGCGTCTCACAATGTGCATTGGAAGCTGCAGCAAGTCAGATAAAGCCCGCCTCATATCCTGGCTGGAGGATGTCCAGTGTCATCTAGCCCTATCTTCCCCAGCCTTGCTCTCCTTGGCCCTTCCCTTTTCATTCATTGGATACCGGTTCTTTCAATCTTGAAAGCTCAGCATCACCTCTGGGCATTACACTGGCCAGCCTGCATAGGAATGCCAACCAGACTGACACCCACCCATCAAGGCATTTTGATATGTGCATAACTCCTCCCAAGAGCTAGTATCAGGATTAAGGGCTCTTGAGAGGAGTACTGAACCTACCTACGGCACTCTTCTGGCTCCTCTCACCAGCCATGTTTTGCCTGCATTACATAGAGAAGCACAAAGAGCCTTACTGCGTATGATGGTAATCTGTGTGTGTGTCTCCACAAACACACAGGCACAGCAAGGCAAGACACTCCCTTCTCCATTCTAGTAGATGGGCAGCACTTGCTTTGTCCCAGGTGATCTTGTAATGGAAAGGAGGTTCAGGGAAGCTGAGCTGAGAGAGTTAGAACTGTTGAGAAACATGAAAACTGTAAGTTCTTGGGCAGACGGACATGTTGGGGTAAGGAGTTTCATAGGATGGGAGAGACTCTAGAGATGTCCTGGAGTCGAGCATGGGAGGAGTTGACGAGTGAGCTGGAAAGCTGGAGGTCTTGGGAAGATCGGAGGGGACGGTTAGGATGATACTTTGAGACAATGCTTGAGATACAGCCGGGGGCAGAGTTGTGGATGGCTTTGTAGGTGGTTGTTAATATTTTTTATATAATATATATATTTTACGTAACAGTTTGATCCGGATTCATTATTGAAAAAGAGTTTGAGCGTTTAAAGCTTTAAGGGTTGACATCTACTTCAGTTATTGCAATACCTGTGTGTGTCCATAGCCCACTAGTCATCGGTCACGTGGTTGATATCCCCCATAGGCAAACACCGTACAGCACACAAACCTCACTCAAAACCAAAGGCCGGAACCAGCTCCGTGGTGGATTTTCGAGAAGAAGGGCCCAAAGACCCGTTCATGGAGAATGCGGCGCTCTGGGCCAGACTGGAGGAGCTGGAGAAACAAGAAGAGCTGGGAGGAGAGCTTGCAGAGTAAGTGTCACCTGGATTCTCTTTTTCTGTACTCCGATGGGGCCATCACATTTGGCCAAATGACCTAATTCATTAAAGGCAAAGTATTGGGAGATTAAAACATGGGACACTGCAGGTGTTGCATGCCGACTCTATAGATCGAGAGCCGAGTGATCATGAACCGCTGATCGTTTAGTTCACGTTCCTCTCTCTGCAGGGATTCCCTTCCCTCTCTGTTCCTCCAGTGCTCATTTGGAGGGACAGACAGGGAAGGGGGCGGGCACAGCTGGCTCTGGCTCCAGAGTGGCAGAGCCAGCTGTCAATCAGGCAGACAATATTGTCGGGATCATTCCCATGTGCAGAACTGCTCTGCGCTGTCAGCAAATAGCGGGCCGTAGCTCACTAGATGCTGGCTTTGAGTCCCGGGAGTCCATTAGTGAATGGACTCCTTTGACCCAAAAGAGGACTAATGCCAAAAAAAAGGTTTGGCTTTGTTTTCTTTTAAGGCCATGTGATACGCTACAGAAATACCATCCACTTTGTCCTCTACATGCCCGCCGATTACCAACCACCATAAAGATGTTGGCACAGACTAATTGCATTAAAAGCATCCACGACCGACATAACATATGTTATTATATTGCTATAGAAAAATGGAAGCTCCTTCCCTCGGCAGCGATTCCTGTAAGGAAGAAAACAAGGAGAACTTGAAGACCGATCTAAACGTGAAGCAAAATCATCTCGCTGCGAGCAGTCATACGAAATCCGAATTGTTGAACTCAGGCTGTGTGAACGGGACTCGGTCGCAGCATAGCGACGAGGAAGACAGTTCTGCGAGCTATAAAAATCCCGTCGCCACCATTTACTTTTCCCATACGGTTGAACCAAAAAGGGTACGTAGCCGGCTATCTCTCATCTCACCTTTGCATCACAGGTCTGCCTTTTATCTGAATGGAGCATGTTGGGATGCACTTAATGTTGGAATATACATTACTGTGTTTATAGCAACAACTTTTGCAGTATACAATTTCCGTCACTAGATGGCAGTGTGTATAGGTTCTGTTATATCTATAGTATATAGTCTGTTGTATTGAATAAGGTAGAGAATAAAGCTGTGGCTTCCATGCTGTTTTCAAGCCATGTGCAGCATGCATGTCAGACTGTGCGCTTGTGTTTCTCTGTGAGGCTGTGCAAGAAGTTCCAACACTTAAGCTTTAGTGCCTCTGTAGCTGGGCATTTGTTTGCATGAGAACTGCTTTCCTTTCCATAAAAGTCAATGCTGAGGCAAAAGCAGCCTAATGCAAGTCAGAGGAACCTGTGAAGAAGGCTCTTCTGGCTTGGAGGGAGTGCTGAGACTTGTGGTTGCTCAACTACTCTTTTATAACATTTTCAGTGGCTTAGGTATCATCCGATTAGTTCCAGTTGGACCTTTTTCAGTATCTTTAAAGCAGATTTCTTGCCAAAAATGAATGCAAAAAATAATAGCTTGTTATAAGATAATGTAAAAAAAAACAGATTTTGCTGCTCTTGCTACCTTTAAACCGGATCTGTACTTATTTTCTGCTATAAGATGTCCTCAGCCTTTTAGTCAGCACATCCAGCCCACTTCCTCTGATCCTAGGTCATCCTGCAACCGTGGCCAGCCTTTGATTGGACGCAGAAAAGTGATGGGGTCATCTCTGTGTCACTTTGCTTTTTCCTCCTAGCAGTATGCTTCTTCTCAGCACATGAACTGGTTGGCTGGTGTTCAGCTTCAAAGTAGAACTATGGGGATAGGGCTTTTCCCCATAGTTCTCCTAAGGGTCACTGGAGAACACAAAGTAGCATCCTCCCGTGACCCAAAGCTCAGTATAGCTGTAGCTCACGGTATACTGAGACGCCGGGACGGATCCCGACATTACTGTCTGGATTCACCCAGCTGCGTGAGTGACAGCTGGCTCTGCCTATCTAGAGGCAGAGCCAGCTGTACCCGCCCCCTCCCCTGTCCATTCCACCAGTCAGCGCTGGACGATCGGACAGGGGAGGGGGGGAATCCCTGCAGGGAGCTGTGAGTGACAGTCACGGCTCTCTGCACGGATAGATCGAGAAGTGAGCGAGCGCCGGTATGTGTTCGTTCACTTCCCGATCTACCAAGCCGACCTGTGACAGTTTCATTGTCACAGCTGGCTCTGCCTCTAGATAGGCAGAGCCAGCTGTCACGCAGCTGGGCGGATCTCGACATCGATGTCGGGATCCGCTCCGGCTGCGGCGTCTCAGTATATGGAGAGCTGTAGCTCGCGGTATACTAAGCTTAGGGTGACGGGAGGACGCTAGTTTGTGTCATCCCGTTACCCTAAGGAAACCTATGGGGAAAAGCCCTGACCCCATAGTTCTCCTTTAAACCTACATCTGGTGCCCCTTATGCATGTACATCATTGTGTACATCAGTGTTATTTAACTTCTGTAATTGTCCCCTAGGTGAGAATAAACACTGGAAAAAACACTACTCTGAAATTCAGCGAAAAGAAAGAAGAAGCCAAAAGGAAAAGAAAAAACAGTAATGGGAACGGTCACTCCGCCCTGGAACTGCCGGTTATAAAGACACCAGCGGATATATACAGGTACACTTAATGCCATGTCTTTCCACAATAGTAATTAGGAATTCAGGAATCACCCACAATCCAGATTTCCTTCCAGCTCTGGGGTCTCTGGTTCAAATCCCGTTCCTTCAGTTTCCTTCCCACAATCCAAAGACATGCCAGTAGGTTAATCGGTTCCTGTGTAAATTGGCGATAGGGACCTTAGATTGTAAGCTCTCTGAGGGCAGGGACTGATGTGTGTCTAATATGTCAGCACTGTATAAATGGTTGAAATAAATAAAGTGGCCAAAGATGCTAAACCCGAGTTGGTGATCTCGGCGTGTAGTTTTTGTCTTCTACTGTTAATGTAGAGCAGCATTGGTGGGCTTTTGTGCTGGCAAAATCGCATTCCAGATCTGTGGGCCAGTAGATTGTGTACCTACTCCGTTCTTATCCTGGTGGTCATGCTTGTGTATCAGTTATGACTATTGCTTTATAGTGAGGGGACAATACCTATCACGTACCAGGCTGCTAGCCTGAGGTTAGGTTGACTGGCATTTTTGTAATGAAAGGCAGTGTGAAAACGGAAAAGAATTCTGGAACGCATCACTAGAGATCATCAACAGGAAGGAGGAGATCCTGCATATAGATCTTTAGTTATCACTAGAGGGATCCCCAGCAGGAGGAATAAGGCCCTGATTCCCTATATAGATCTTTATTATCACTAGAGGGATCCCCAGCAGGAGGAATAAGGCCCTGATTCCCTATATAGATCTTTATTATCACTAGAGGGATCCCCAGCAGCAGGAAGGAGGTCCTGATTCCTCTATATAGATCTTTAGTTATCAGTAGAGGGATCCCCAGCAGGAGGAAGGAGGTCCTGATTCCTCTATATAGATCTTTAGTTATCAGTAGAGGGATCCCCAGCAGGAGGAAGGAGGTCCCGATCCCTCTATATAGATCTTTAGTTATCAGTAGAGGGATCCCCAGCAGGAGGAAGGAGGTCCTGATTCTTCTATATAGGCATCTAGTTATCACTAGAGGGATCCCCAGCAGGAGGAAGGAGGTCCTGATTCCTCTATATAGATCTTTAGTTATCAGTAGAGGGATCCCCAGCAGGAGGAAGGAGGTCCTGATTCCTCTATATAGATCTTTAGTTATCAGTAGAGGGATCCCCAGCAGGAGGAAGGAGGTCCTGATTCCTCTATATAGATCTTTAGTTATCAGTAGAGGGATCCCCAGCAGCAGGAAGGAGGTCCTGATTCCCCTTTTATAGATTTTTAGTTGCACCTCATTTAGAATACTGTGTCCAGTTCTGGAGACCTCGCTTCCAAAACTATATTGATCAGACAGCACGATTCCAGAGACAGTCAATAAAAATGATGAAAGGTTTGAAGGATAAAACGTATGGAGAGAGACTGGAGGAACCTAATATGTACAATCTGGAGGAAATAAGGGAATGGTGGGAGATGCCTAAAACCTCCTAAATACATTAAGGGTATACATAAAGTTCAGTGTTTTTAATAGGACACTAAGATCAAGGTCACAGGGCCATGACCTTATACTAGCAGGAGGAAAGTTCCAAACTCACCTTAGAAAGTATGATTTTACAGAAAGAGTAGTTGATGATCAGACTTTGAGAAGATGTAGGGTGTCAGTCCACAGTAAGTGAATTTAAACAAGTTTGGGACTCAATGGACCACTTGGTCTTTTTCTGCTGACAGCCTCTTATGTTTCTATGAAAAGTTAATGCTCATGCATTGTGCTTTACCAGAGTGTTTGTGGACGTGGTGAACGGAGAGTTAGTCCCCCGCAAATCCATCATGAAGTCCCGCAGTCGCGAGGACAGCGTGTGCAGCGACACCAGCGAGAATAGTTCGCACGAGCTGGAGGACAGAAGAGGGTACCAAAGGAACATCAGCATGGAGGACAACATCTTCAGCGACCACAGTGAGGAGGATGACCGGACGCATAAAAAGCTGTCGTCTGTGTTTGGACCATCAGAGGTGAGAGGGGCGATAGGTCAGATTTGTGTAAATGCCTTTTTGCCTTCCTTCACAGATCCTGAGACATCTTCTGCTGAGGTCTGCAAGGAAACCAACTCTTCTGGGAGGGTCGCTCTCCTGTGTCCTCCTGACGATCTCCACATCACTACTGCTATGCTACTGCTGTGTAAGGACGGGCTCGGGCGTGTTCGTAGCTCCACGTGCCGAGCCCGCCAGAAAGCTGACAGCGTGCAGCGCCAATCACAGGCACTGAGACATTTCCCGATCTCTGCAGCTGCGGACCGGGAACATGTCTCAGTACCTGTGATTGGGGCTGCGCGTTGTCAGCTTCCTGGCAGGCTCGGCACGTAGAGATGCGAACACGCCCGAGCCCTTCCTTACCGCTGTGGAGGTTGGAGGTCAGCAGGAATACCATGCTACTCTATCACTTCAACACAACAAGTGATCATATGGTTGGTGGTGTTCTCATGTGTATCAGGATATTACTGCAGCCATTAAAAGTGACCCTGTCACCAATTTAAAATATTGCAGGTAAAAGCATTGTTATAAATGCTGACTTGCAGTGTATCTCACTTTAATTATTTTGTATTCACTTGCAAGGTGCTGGTTAACTTGCCTGGAAATTTGATGGCTTCAGGAATTTCCTAGCACAGCCCTCTCTCTCTAATTGCACATCATAGCCCTCTACTCTTCTGGAAGTGTCTACTGTGTGTTGGGCCAGCTCCTCAGCCCCTCCTTTTTTCCTCTATACATAACATTTAAAACTTTTTCTACTGGGGGGAAGAGCGAAGGGAAATACTATAGAGTTGGGATAGCCAAACTTCGGCCCTCCAGCTGTGGTAAAACTACTTATTCCATCATGCATCTGTCTCTGCAAGCCATGCCTGTGGCTGTCAGTCTTGCAATGCCTTATGGGACTTGTACTTCTACAACAGCTGGAGGGCCAACGTTTGGATACCCTTGTTTTGATCTTGGATCACTTTAGTGACGGCTCTGAAGCTGCCGGGGCTGCTCACGTCACATCCAAGATGGCGGCACACAGCAGCAGTCTCGGGGCTTTTGGATGTCTACACAAGGGAGGCCATGTTACATGCACGTACTGTATACTCTTATGGGGGAAGACTGTTGTTGAAATAAATGGTCCGGCCACAGGGTCTCTCTGAATTTCTTTGATAGGGGACGGTGCAGGCGACACCATAATGAAACAAGCTTCTCTTTATAGGCACAGGCGTTTTCAGGAACAGTCATAGAGAAAGAGCCGTTCTCTATATCTGTGCCCATGACCAGCATCGCCCACCCAGCTCTGCCCACCATCCAGGAGAAGAAGGCCGAGGAGTCCACCGAAGAGGGGGCCAAGAGAGTCTCAAAGTTCAAAGCTGCCAGGATGCAACAGAACATGTGATACTGTGCGCATCCACCTCCGTGTTCCCAGCCGCTCTGGAACACAACCCACCAATGCAGGTCTGGATGATGTTTACTAGTTCAGTCTGTGCCAGGTCACCTTCAGTGGGCCAAAAAAAAATATGAATTTGCAATCATTTTGATAATCTTCAAGTTTTTTTTTTTTTTTTTTTCCTTTAAATAAATATGCAATGATTTCCATTATGGCGAGGGGTACAGTCTGCATCTTTTTATACGCGTGTTGTAAAAGTGTAGAAAGTTTGGAGAGAACATTGTGTTAAGTTCCATGTCACTGAGGTGAGACCTCTGCAGGCCTGCTATGGGTCATTTTAAAGGGTAGCTGAACCCCGAAAACAAAACATGTCATATGTTGCAGCTCACCAGTCCTTAGACATTAGCCTTTTCCTTTATCTTCACCTGGCAATCCTTCCAGCAGGGCCGGGCCGAGGGGTAAGTGGAAGAGGTTGGTGCCTGGGGTGCTTTAATGGGTGCCCACACGACTGCAAGGGAGGTCTTGAGATTTCCCCGGCAGGATATCTGGCAATGGTGGTGAGAAGATGCGAGCAAATACTTCTGTCCTCATGCAGGTGGCCACACTCTATGCACGTCAGGGAATTTTTCGGGCTGTTGCCTCCCAGCTCAGGCCAAATACATTGAAGATTTGAGTGAGCAGAGGCGCCCCATTGAACAGATGACGAGTTGAAGTCACATTTGTCTAATGCCGGCAAGTTTGTATGCGGTACAAAGCTTGGGTAAGAACACCATCAACGCGTTTTATGGCTCTATAATGGCTGCTTCATCAAGAGGGTGCAGGAAGACGAGCAGAACTCCGAGCAAAAGTGTTTTTAAAGTGACATTAAAGTCAAATTATTTTTTCCCCTCCCCAGTAGATAGCACTTGATAGCAGTTGATATAGGCAAAAAAAAGATTAAGTGCTCATCTAGGTGCTAAAAAAAGTTACACTCGTCCAATCCTCAGAGCTGGTTTGCTATTAGACCGGTCCATGGAGTCTCTCTACACCAGGGGTGCCCACAATTTTTTGTCTGGAGATCTACTTTTCAAATGACGAGCTCAATGAGATCTGCCAACGAAAAAACACCTTTATTTAAAAAACAAGCACATTAAAATAGTTACTGGGACTACTGCCTCTGTCTCCTGGCTCTCTCCCCTGTATATCTCTTGCTGTCTCTGTGGGCCGCTTCACACCTCAAAGTCAGCGCTCCAGCGCATGCGGCCTCTGGAGCTCACTGAAACGCAAGCCGGCTAGCTCCCTGTGTTCAGGGGCAGGAGGGGGCGTGGCGGTGCATTGAAGTCAATGGGACCGCAGCCACGCCCCCGGCCCGCAGTGTGATGGCCCGCACCTGGAACGCAGGCACATCAGTGCCTGAGTTCCGGTCCAGTGCGATCTGCAAAAATGCCGGAAGCACTATTTTTGCAGATCGCACTGGACCGGAACACAGGCACTAATGTGGCTGAGGGCTTCACATAGGGAGAGGTGTCCCGCCCCTTCCCGTCTGCAGCGCCTGACACATTTAGCCGCACTAGCACCGCTGGAGGGAGCTCTGGTCAGCGAGCCGATCTCGATCTACCAGAGTTCTCTTTGCGATCGACTGGTAGATCGCGATCGACCTAATTGGCATCCCTGCTCTACACTCCCTGCTGCAGCGGTCTAACGATCCATGAGTCATCACATTCTATACAGTGTATAGGATATGAGGACACTGAGGGACATACCACCGCTGCTGCAGAGAAGCAGACGGGCTTCAGGAACCAGTGTAGCAGCCAGCCGGGGCCCCCGGTTTGGGTGAGTATAATTTTTTTTTTTTAAGCACCTAGCCGACAAGCACTTAACTCTTGCAGTACGGGGGTAGTCCCACTGCAAGGGTTGCCTTGCAGTACGGGCGCACTGCCCGTAGTTCTGCTGTACAAGAGATGTGGTGTGTTGGCACATCAGGACCCGCTGCCACGCCATGTCCGTTCACACCATTCACCGTTCACACCATCCATTGCGTTCATGTCACCGTTCCGTGACATGAACGCACTGGGTCACATAATCAAAGCCTCCCCGGGTTCTGGGGTGTGGCCGTGCTATTCATTTCAATCCGTCCCCACTGGAAAGCATGGTACAGCGTTCCAGTGCAGTGCGATCACAAAAAATAGCTCATGCACAAACTTGAACTGGGCCCTAACGGAAGTGGCCATTCTAGAGCCATGAAACGCATTGATGGTGTTCTCCTTGCTTGCACTGAATACAAATTTGACAGTATTAGATGAATGTGACTCCATTCCAACTCGTCTGTTCAGTTGGGCGCCTCTGCTTGCTCCAGTCTTGGACGTGTTTTGGGCTTGTTACGGAGATAGAAAGGGGGACCTGGTTGGTACTGGAAACCGCTTCACTTTTGCGCTCACCATAACATTTCATTATCTTGAAAAAGGCGATAGACGCCTGTGCAGGGTTAGTGGTGCTCAGCTAGAAGGCCAAATGCTCATTAAAAAAATATATAATAAATGTGTAGTGTCCTGCGGGGGGTGAAGCTGGGAAATGAAAGCCTGGTGGATGGAAATGCAGGGGACTCTGACCCGAACTGCTGCAATGGCGGACACAGCATGATTCTTACTGCAGCTCCTTTGTCAGATCCACTATAGCAGCCCTTGGCTTGGCCGTCATAGTGAAGCTGCACTCCCCGGGGCTAATGAAACTTTGCACAATATCTAAGTTTTTTGTGGGTGTCCTGTGACTTTCCCTTTCCCAAAGCTGGAAGGAAGGGTGTATAGGAAGGCGAGAC